AGGTCTTCTAGATACCCTTAACAATACATTTTATTTTCACAATCATCAATATATTCATTATGATTTAATCATTCACAATTATCATTTTTAATCAGAATATTCATCAAGATTCAATCATCATAATAATCAATCAATAATCATTACCATAATCATCAATCAACATAATATTCAATAATAATTAGCGGCCTAGCTTCGAGTGTTAACACCCTAACTTACCGTCATGCATCACATAACATTTTTATTTGTTAAAAACATCATTTTTATTATGGTAAATCATTTTTCCAATGATCATAATCAATTGCTGGATTTTAGAGCATATATTTTCCGAATATTTTCGGAACAAGATCTCGACTTAAGAAAAATCGATTTTAATTTTTAAAAATAATCAATTAATACCTAAAAATAGATTTTTATATTTAAAATAATCCATTAATTGCTAAAAATCGATTTTTATATTTTAAATAATTAATTAATTGCTAAAAATCGATTTTTATATTTTAAATAATCAATTAATTGCTAAAAATCGATTTTTATATTTTAAATAATAAATTAATTGCTAAAAATCTATTTTTATATTTTAAATAATCCATTATTTAATAAAAATCGATTTTTATATTTTAAATAATCAATTAATTGCTAAAAATCGATTTATATATTTTAAATAATCCATTAATTACTAAAAATCGATTTTTACAATTTAAATAATCAATTAATTAATTTTAATCAATTTTTACAATATAAATAATCGATTAATTCATAAAAAATCGATTTTTACAATTTAAATAATCCATTAATTCATAATAATCGATTTTTACAATTTAAATAATTAATTAATTCATAATAATCGATTTTTATAATTAAAATAATCGATTAATAACGTTAAATCAATTTTTATGATTAAAATAATCGATTATTATTATTTTTAAATATACTGACTATCTGAACAAATTTTTAATCGATTATTAGGAAGGAAATAATCGATTTTCGGCCACTGTTCGTCATCTTCTTCCTCTGTTCAATTTTTAACATTATCATTTTTAATTACGAAACTTCAATTAAATTATATAAGAATGTTCCACAATGTTCACAGATCAATTTAGAGTCATTAATTTGTAGTTTTAACAACAATTTCTTGGTTTATGATTCTTGGTTCTTCAAACATGTCAAACATAAAACTCAACCAAACGACCGTTTATGAACGTAAAAACGATCTATACGAACATTCTAATCACTAGATATATCTACGGGCTTACCTCGAATGTAAATGAAGGTTTTGAATATTTTCCGGTGAAACTTCCGGCGAACACCAGGTCTTGTTCCGGCGACCTCTCACCAAATTGACAGCACCACTGCGTTCTCCACACTCAAGGCTATCACTCAGAATGAATTTGATGAAGAATGGTGAAGAAATGGTGAAGTTGGGTTTCTTATATAGTAAAAGAATGGAGGAAGAGGCCAAGGTGATGATGTATCCGTTCCTGTTTCGGCGTCTCAGTGGAGGAGGCTGCGATATTTCTTCCATTCCAAACGCAAGTCCCTGATTGGGACTAATTTGGTCCCAGTCGGGGAACACTTTTTGGTCCAACTTTCTCCGAATTGAAATCCGATTGCACCGTTGCGATCAGATAGTTAAACTCTATCTAACGATATAATTTTTATATTTATTCGTTATACTTTTTCCGACATCATATTTTTGGTTGGTTGACTTTGACAGAGTCAAAATTGGTTTCATTGACCTTTATTCAAAAAGGTTCTCACATTTAATTCATATTATTTATTTCCATGATTTATTTCAATAAATCATTTCAAAGTTCACATTATAAACAATTTCTTCATTTATTCTTAATTTGGGTCTGTACTCAGGTTCCCAATCAAGATGACACAATAAATCAACATGTTGGATTTATCTCTATGAGATTTATCCCAATTATGTTTATTGGATATCAATATATATTTTATTTCAGCCCAAAGCCCAACAACAATTTATTTTAATCAAAAAAAATTTTGTTTAATTGAATATTTAATTTAATAAATTTTAGGGTATGTTTTGGGGCGTTACAGCCTTAGACTAGGAATAGCTAAGAGCTTGTTATAAAATGATTTGGCCTTAGATTAAGAATAATTTAAGAGCATGGTTGAGATATTGAATATCAAATGACTTGGAATAAAATATTGAGAATATCATGAATGTTTGAATCATATATTGTGCGCATGATATCAAATGGTTGATTATGAATTGAGATTCGATTTATTTGGATGTTCGACGCTTTAGATATGCTTACTCAGCTTCATCGCTGAGCGTGTAGTATGTTTTATTTGCTACACGCAGGTAGACATAATGAGTGAATGGCATGTTCTTGGCAGCGGAAGGGGCGAGACATTCGTGGTGGATTTGTTGAGAAAATAAATGATTATGTTATTATGAATCATGTTTAAAAATCGTTTCCGCATTAAACACTCCGTATTTACTACAATTATGTTTGGAATTTCATTTATGATGAATAAAGTTATTTGAAATGTTTTAAATTATACGATTACCAAGTTAATACTTTAGTTCGGAAGGGGTTGTAAACCTGGACGGATTAGGCATAAAACTTCCTACGTGCAGGAGGTGCTATTTCCTGTTTCCTCCTAGAAAACCTAGGTTGATAAGAACTATAGTTTTGTCTAGGTTGTGCATAGTGTGTCCTGTGTCGGTTATAAGCATACTTAGGTGGCACAAATAGCTTCTGGGGTGGAGGGTGACTATATCTTGGTATAGTTCTCCACTCAGAATTTCTTGGAAAACTCCTGTCTACCCCATAATGAGTATAGCCTCGTGTATAATGGGGGTTAGAAGGTTTTCTTCTGAAATTATTTCCTTTTTGAGGTCTGTCCAGCTTCCTATAGTTCTTAGGAGGGACTACCTTTTTGGGAACTTCTGTTGGTTTTTCCTTTTCCTTCCCTTTCTGCTTATTAGGTTTGGCAGTAGGTTTAGGAGGGATGAAAGTTGTCTTCCCTTTCCTTTT